GAGGGTTACATGAATATTTTTAATTCTTTGTACAACCATGATGTTTAAGCAAGTGAAATAAGCTGCTTGTAAAATTGTATGATCATGTTTTTAGTTATCCTTTATCTCTCACAAAAGGAAAAAACACACTGAATAATGTCAATGTGATTTTCTCTGGACAGTGGGATTACATCTTTGTGTTATTTTTGCAAGCAATATTTGTTTTTTATAATGAGAAAAATACAACAAAGGCATAAAATTTCTTCTGTGGAGCCTGAGGTGCAGGAGCAATGGCTGGGCCAGCAGGAGGGAAATCTGGAGAGGAGTTTGGAATTTTAAGGGACCCTAAGGAGACAGGGAAAAACCACAGAAAAATGTAAATAATGTCAATGGTGGCTCCCAGAACATTGGGATATAAGGGACACAGTGGAACTCCCTTCCAGAGATTTCTGAAGGCAAAGACTGATACTACTGACCCAAGCTTTCTGTTACTCAAGGGCAACTCGGGGGATAAAAACAAGAGAAGCCCAGGGACATGGACAGGAAAGTGCTTCACTTTTCCCGAGGACCTAGAGGGTAAAAAAAGATTTACCTGGTAGGTGGAGGGTAAATGACCCAGGACAGTTAATGGCCCCAAGGGCTGCAATGGAACACATACTCACTTGAAAGGATGGGAAACATAATGAGCAACCATTGTCCTGAAGCAGGTTATTTAGCACTATGATCTTGTGCCAAGTTAATACTTTGAACTGAGATCATGCACCTGAAATTTACATAATCTACATATAGTTTTCTATTCTAAGCTTTCTTTAAGCCATGGTAAAAAAATAAATGCATTCTTGAAAATGATACTTGAGCAACAGTTACTTTGGAGGGGCTGGGGTTGTAGTTCAGAGGTATAGTGCTTGTTTAACGTTTGTGAAGCCCTTGGGTCAATCTCTAACATTACAAAAAACCATAAACCAGTTACTTTGGATAGACCAATACAGAATCAAAGCAAAAGTGCTGAATCTCAGAGCCACGGTCTTTAGAGAAGATCCCTCTACCCTTTCATTTTTGAACTCTGGGGCTGGAAAATTGTTATTTGAGCAGAGTATACTTATTGAACCATTAGTGTTTGGAAAGATAAATGTTTTTAGTGGATTGTCTCACTTATTCTTCTGAGGTAGATACTGTCCAGCTTTACAAATGAAGGAATGGAGGTGTAGCTGGAAAGGGTCAGTGATTAGGACTCACGCAGTAACCCACATTCCTTCTAAAACACTATCGTGCATTTTCAGTACTGCAAATATCCTAAAGCAAGTAACAATAACCATAAAGTGCTAAAATTAGTAATACCTAAGTTAAGGTTATCAAGAAAAATGTTATGATCATACTGCACTGATGGGAATGTGAATTGGTGTGGCCTTTCTGAAGGACAATTCAGCAATACTTGCTAGAAGAATTTTTGGTAGAAGTACTCTTCCTTTCTAGTTTTTGACTAGAAGGTCTCCCTAAAGATTAAGTGTCAATGACACCTGCACAAAAAGTTCAGTACAAAGAACTAGAAGCAATCATTATGCTTCAGTGGAGAGTGGGCTAACTACACCATGGGCAAGCATGGAGAAAGATGAAAGAAACCCATATTTTATGAAATGGAAAAGATTTCAAGGTACAGTAAGTGAAAACAAGGTATTGCATTTATAATAATTATATATAGAAAGTGAAAACAAGGTATTGCATTTATATATTGCATTTATATATATATAGAAAGTGAGTTGGCAGATACCATGGAACAGAAACAATGTTTTTCCTCTGAAAGGAAACAAAAAAAACTTTTAACAATCAGTATCTTTGGAAAGGGTAATTGAATTATTATTTTTGTGCATTGGATATGTTTATAAATTGTGTTTTCTTATGTTCTCTACTTTAAAAAAAAAAAAAACCTCAACACTGCATTAAATCTTTTCAATAAAAGCCAAATAACTAGCATGTGTTGGGGAAGTACAGAGGATTGTGCTAAACACTTCACTTGTAATACCTCATTACATTCCCACTTGTAAACTTTTATCTCCCTTTTACAGGTGAGAAGTTGGAGAAACTCAGACCTGTGAAATCACTTGCTTGAGGTCACACAGCTACAAGGCAGGGAATAGCAATTTCAATGTCCTCTTCTTCATGTGAGAGCCCTAGAGCTCAGCTTCCGGGCCATACTCTTCTAATTGGTTTTTATGTCCTCATTGCCTAATGACAATGCATTGGGAAACACTTACAGCTTAAAGAGATAACATATAACATATGGAAATACTTTTCTAAGGATAGAGATATTTGGAGATGGTGAGCAGGAATAGGGAGTTTTCAAAAAAGTAGGCAGATCTGTCCATAGACCCCTGTACAGCCAGATTGTTTTATGAAGTGATGCTCAACAACTTTTTTTCCTCCTTTAAAAGATTATAAAACTATATTCACTCTCTCTTTTCCCAACAATACCTGATTGTTGTTAGAAAATTAACATGATTTGGAGAAAGGAAAGTCTTTTTAAATACCCTCACTCTTAATGGCTTTGTTTCAGATTTGAATGGCTGGCCATAACTTCACACACGTTTCACATAAATGCAAGCATGTTTGTTCTTGGACATCTTTTCATATCTGCACTTAGAACTCTACTTTTCTCTTTTACATAGCGACTCATCTTTTGAATATTGTATGTATAGTTTTAAAAGTCATTTTTTCAAACTTTCAACTGTTTGCTTTTCTAATCGATGTGATAATGAATACCTTTCCAAGAAAGTTTTGAAGGCCCTTCAGACTGGGTGTGACATTGTTCCACCCCAAAACACGGTCAGCACACTCGGAGATATTTATGTTGCTAACAGGTGGAATGACCTCACAAAGAATTGCCTGTTTTGGTCATACAGTGAAAGAACAGAGACTTACTATAATTGCTTGACTCTAATTAGATGAGAAGAGGAATTTTTCAGACTAATTTTCAAGCTCCGCTAGTGGAGAACTAGTGATTCCACCAGGCCGGAGAGACAGAGATAAACAGGAAAAACTCCAAATCTGGCAACAGCGTGTGCGCAAGAAGCCCTGACCTAAGGGGAAATGCAGAAGAGACCAAAATCTTCCAGCAGAGGGCAGTACCTTGGCTATCGGGCAGGACTCCAGCCAGCTGCCGCCTAAGCTGGGGACTGCACCCGAGAGGTCTCACCAGTTTAAAGCTGAGCAAAAATTGAACTGTCCTTTGATTACTATAAATCACACTGGGGAATAATGCAGAGAGTGGGCCTTCACGAGACTGTAACTCGCCTGTTTTCTAATATCTAACAGTTTGAATTGGGTACTACATCTCTGTTCATACAGTTTGACCATTAGGACTTGCAAGTGAAGAAATTTGGGGTCATTTTAACCAGACCGGCCACCCAGTTTCGAAGGTTGTTGGGTGTGCTTGAATCAAAGAGGAAGTGACTTGCCTAAAATATAGCCTGGTCTTCTGGCCACTAAACCTGTGAATCAGACACAAAGTTTACAAAGAGAAAGTCAGCAGTGAGAAAGATATGTAAAAAGTAACAAATTTATCTACAAATAGAAACTTAGTGTTTAACGTTAATTTGCTTTTGAGTGTCAAAGGCTACAAAAGATGTTTTTAAAAACAAAACTCCAAGTGTGAAAACTATTATGCATGCGGATAACCAAAGATTAAATGAAATCAATCCACAGGGATGAAGTAATTGCAATAAATCCTTCCCTGAATATTTTTTACCTTTTCTGCTGTGCAGTGCTTGGAATCAAATAGGCAAAACACTGAGCATCACAAATCTATTTCTAATGCGTGTGTATGTGTGTTTTCGAGCCTTGTGATTTTTAAAGAGCCCTCACCAGATAATAAAAATACAGTGAGTGTTTTGTCAGGCACTTAAAACACATCACATTCTCAGTAGGAATCAAAACCAAATTGAAGGGTAGTTTGTATGCATTTCTTAGAAAATATCAAGTGGAAAAAATACTAGCCAAGAGAATAAACGTCCTGAGCTGTTTTGTTTTCCCTCCAACTTCTAGTTCAGGGACGTTGAGTTTCTTCCGATTGCCAGATTTATTAGCCCGCCGTCCTGCACCAGCCAAGGAGGGATTCAGTCCTCTGACCCAGCTGGAGGAGGCTGAGAGCCGAGGGGCTTCCGGGCCTCTGGGGTGGGACACCAGCTCCTGCGGTAGGGAAAGTATGGAGGCTGGAGGCTCTCGGAGGGGCCTTTTTCCAAGACCACAGCCGAGACCCAAAACCGTCCCAGCCGCCTCGCTTGCTCAGCAGGGCGCGGCCCTAGCGCCACCCGCGCTCGCCCCAAAGAGGTGGGACTTTCCCCACCGGAAGTGATCCCGTCCAGTCTTGGGGAACTGGGGCACCTCAGCCAGTGTGTCAGGGAAACCCTTCCGGGTGTGTGCTGGGGGGGGTGGGGGGTGAGAAAAAAACGAGGTGGGCTCGGCTGGAGTCCCCGAGGCCGCCGCCGGACGGCCCCCGCCCCTTCCCGCTCCGCGCGCAGGAGCGCTGGGGAGGACGCAGCGCCGAGCAGCCGGCGGCTGGCCATGGCCTTGGCGTGACAGAGCCTCCCGGACGGCCGGGCGGGTGCGGACCGCAGGGTAAGCGGCGGCGGCCCGAAGCGGTTGGGAGCCGAGGGCGGCGGCAGCCTGGGCCGCTGCTCTGCGGCGGGGGACAGACGGGTAACGTGCGCCTCTCTGCCCCTCGCAGGCCGGACGACCCCCGCGGGAGCGGGGCCCAGAGACCCGCCGGGGCGGCAGTGACGGGAGCGGAGCCCGCAGGCCAGGGCCGGCTCCGCAGCGCCAGCAGGAAGCGGGGTCCCTGGGCCCCTTTGTGTGAAGGGCGGGGGAGGGGTGCCGGGCAGCCCCTGGCTGCAGGCTCCGGGGACAGCCGTCAGCCCGGCCTCGGCCCCCACCCCTTCCCGCCCGCCCTCCTCCCGGGGGCGCCCGCCTCCCACCCGCGCCCCGCGGCCCCAGGCTCGCGCTCCTCCCCACGCCCCCTGCCTGGGCTGCAGTTCCTATAGGAAGGGCATTACCATCCCTTCCCCACCCACCCGACACTTCGCTCTTTCCCCTCCCCCGCCCATAACTTCCTCTTCTTCCCCGGCTGGGCCCCGGCTGCTCTGCACTCTCCTCCCCAGTTCGCAGATTTCCGCCCACCTTCCGCCTTGCCTAGCCGCAGCGCAGCTAGCGGGGTGTTATTTTCGCCCCCTCTGGTAGGAGTTGCTGAAGGTGAGACTCATGAGGGAATACAAGGTAGTGGTGTTAGGGAGCGGAGGGGTTGGCAAATCTGCCCTTACTGTGCAGTTTGTCACTGGGACTTTCATTGAGAAATATGACCCCACCATTGAAGATTTCTACCGCAAAGAGATCGAAGTGGACTCTTCCCCCTCCGTGCTGGAAATTCTGGACACCGCAGGAACTGAGCAGTTTGCCTCCATGAGAGACCTCTACATCAAAAACGGCCAAGGTTTCATTCTGGTTTACAGTCTGGTTAATCAACAGTCTTTTCAGGTAACCAAACTTAAGTCTTGTAATTTCTTAGAAGGGGGTGTGGTAATCCTGCATGTACTTCTGACTTGCTTGAACCGCGTGTTAATGACTGTGTTTTGCTTTTGAAAGTTAGACATGGCACATTTGGGGGGTTACGCGTGGAAAAGTATCGGGTTGTTTCTATAGAGGGGACTAAAGCAACAAGCGTCAACAAATGTTTTAAAGTCATTTTAAGGAAAAGAAAAGTGAAAACGAAATAGGTCAGTTTGTACAAATGTAGCCTGGAATATAACCTTGCGAAGTTGCTTATTCAATTCAACAAGTATTGATTAACCTACTCAACAAAACAACATTTAACAGATAATCTCGGGTAAATGGAGCACTGTGAAAGGAAAATTATTGGGAGCTCATTATCTCTTGGAAAGATAAGACCAGTGTCTGCATTCCCCTCCCTCCCCCCCTCTGTTCTCCGAAGTTTCTCAACTAGAATTGTAAATCTTGGTGCTGCTGGACGAGCTGGAGACCTGCCTTCCAGGCATTTTGCTTATTACTAACTTGGGGCTTGTATGGAAAGGGAAGTTTCTCAATGAAAGGACTGGTGCCTAGAATTAATAACTAGCAAAAATCAAAACCGAGTCTTCTTTTCTGCAGTTGATCCTTATTGTTTCTGGTGTCATCGCCTATATTTCATAGAAAATATGTGGGTCTGGAAACACTGAACGAGTGCACCCTGGCAGTGTGACCATAGTGGATGTGGTCCAATTTCTTTGGAAAATCTGTCCTGTCCTTCACTGGGAGATAGACTGAAAGTTTAATGTTATTTTAAGAGATGCAATAAACGCTGCTATTTAATCCTTGAAAATAAATAACCTTATATTGACCCATTATATTGACCTCCATTGATTTAGGAAATGGTATTTTTTTCTGCATTTGAAGGAATGCACTTAATGTTGCTTACCTAAGAGACCTTAAGTGCTTTAGCCAATGAAATGTGCTAAATTCACATTCTTTAGTATTTTGAGTTAAAGTACTATGGAAATATTTTCCAGTAACTTTACATAGCAACCTCAAAGATTTTTTTTTAAGATAGTAAGTTTTGAGAAAGGAAATTAAAGCTATCAAGACCAAACTAAAGTTCATTTTATATATAGGCTTAAATTTGAAACCAAAATGTCATAAAAGCATTTTTTTCCCATGGAAACTACCCAAGTACTAAAGGTGATATTTAATAAAATTTTCTAAGGATCCTCTCAGTATTTGTTATTCTATCAGCTGACTTTGTGGAGGCTGGAATTCTTTTGAAGGGTATTTAGGAAGATTTCCATTATATCCACTTCTGTTAGGAACATAGAGAGATAAAACTATGGCATAATCTCAACAAATTGACACTCATTTGATCCCAAATACTATAAGTTTGGATTTTCAGCTGAACTTGTGTTTCCATAAGGACAATCAGAAAAGCAACTTAACCTAGAACTCTGAATTGAGCATGATCAAACCAAATTTTGCAAATACCAATTACTGTGTATTTTATGGGTCTTTGTTTTTCATATGTTTCCCACAACTATTCCAGTAAATACACATTTTATATTTAAGGCAAATCTAAAGTTATTAAAAAACACCAAAAATGTAATGCATTAAATTTTTAATGTTGTCTTAAATTGATATTGCCCCTCCCCCAAGTGAATGATACTGAAGAATTGCTGAGGTTCTTATCTTTTGTAATTCTTTAGAAAATGTAATACACAAGCAAAATAAGTCAGTTGGCAAAAACAAACATAGGCAAAGAAAAGTATGACTTCTTCCCACCCAGACTCTTCTTGTATTATCCTTCCTATGATTTGTTACTATCATTTTATTGTATTTTAAGGTGTTTAATTTTGAGATAAACATATACTGTTAGGTTTTAAATGAAAAAAATTAAGTGTGTTCTAATCTGTTTTTAAAGCTAGTCTTGTAGACATTAAAAAGTGGTTTTTTTTTTATTCTCACCTAAAACACTTTCTCTTAAGCTCTCTTGCTAAATGACTAGGAATACATAGATGCTGCAGTCCTGTGCTTGGATAACAGGTGTTACAAGGCACAATGACAGACAGGTTTAAAGTGATAGACATCCTTATTAATATATCCTTGTGAATATATTGATTATTATATTTTGGAACTTGATTTTTTTTGATCAGTATGGACTGATCAAAGGATGGGGGAATTGATTGTATGAATTTTAAAAGGTTAAGTGTGCAGCCTGTGTTTTATAATTCTGACATGCAACCACTAAGTAGAGCTTGTGGAAATTATCAAGCTCTTCACTGGAAAAAAAATAATGATGTGTTCTTTATGTGGGTGTGTGATTTTGAATTTGGTTTTATATAATCACCAAGGAATGATTTTTTTGTGATATTGTTATGCTTCTGCTGTAGTTATGCCAAAGCATAATGTTTTCTTTTTCTTTGTGATTATTTGAATAGGATATCAAGCCAATGAGAGATCAGATTGTCAGAGTGAAGAGATATGAAAAAGTACCACTAATCCTAGTGGGAAACAAAGTGGATCTGGAACCAGAAAGAGAGGTTATGTCTTCAGAAGGCAGAGCTCTGGCTCAAGAATGGGGGTGTCCTTTCATGGAGACATCGGCAAAAAGTAAATCAATGGTAGATGAACTTTTTGCTGAGATCGTCAGGCAAATGAACTATTCATCCCTGCCCGAGAAGCAAGATCAGTGTTGTACAACTTGTGTTGTCCAGTAAAAAAGATAACCTCAATCATGGCCATACCGAGCAGGTTAGTTGTGGATGGGAACTTTAATAAGCCAGATAGTGTTTGGGTTTTGGTCAATTGTATTAAAAACCTGGTAAATGTTAATATATATGATGCTGCTATAAATTTATTTTTATAAAATTTTCCTCAGCATAAAATAGTCAACTTTTAATGCTGCATATCGAAAAAATGTACATAAGCAAAACAAAGGTAAGAAACTGCCTATGTTCTCATCACCATGTTTTTTTAGAGTGAGTTACTATCTTTTGTCCGCTTTACTAATAATATTTTTGGCGGGTGAATAAAAAACATAATGCAGATTTTTCTTTGTTTTTGCACATTGAGCATTCAAAATGTACAGGATAATATTGAAAAATTTTGGAAGATATTTAGTTTTAATTTTTTCCCCGTAGGCATTTATACTTTCATATATCCTTGACAAGAAAGTTGTTATAATTGAAATCATCAGTTTACTAATCACCCAAGTGCTTGATTTAACAGGATGATTATTTAATCAAGTTCATCTGTTCCTTGCACTTAAAGGATTTAAGTGACCTCTGATAATAATAAATTATAATGCCATAATGTACCCTGACTTCATTATAAATATGTGATCCACATGAAAATCTGATTAAATCACCTGTAATGTGTTAAACTATTCTAATAATGAATAATCTATTGAGTTAATTTAGTTTTTTAAAGGATAGGATTTTAAAAAGGTTATGTAAAATTTACTGAGCATTTAATGTGAGATTATTTTATTTATATCATGATCCTTTAGATTATAACTGAGCAAATAGTCTCAATTATTAGTAACACTTAGATAACAAGATAAAACAACCAGTATTGTGGATGACTGAGTAACCACAGCAAATGCCAGACTAGCCTGACAATATCAGGAGTGAGATTAATCTTTCTGAGCCTGGGCTGACCTCGAGTCTAGGAGGCAGTGTTGCAAATGGCAACAGGCATTTCAGATCACAGATGATTCCTAATCAAAGGTCTGGCTTTATATCTGCTCCCTAGAGGAAAGACTAACAGTCCCTAATTTATCTTTTCATACAAGGTCTCTTGTCAGGTAGTGTCATCTTTGAAAGTGAAATGTGGAAGCAATGCTTTATTCAAGATGCTTTCACTCATCAGCTTTTAGCATACTAGCATATAATGAAGGCTCGTTTTTTTGTCTAGCTACATCTTATGTTATAAAGTCACTATTGAGACTGTAGGCATAGGTCATCTTGTTTTGTTGATAGTGTTGTACTTTCAGCATAGTTGTTTGAGGATGGGACAGGCTTATGTGGTGAGTGAGTCCCATATTCTTGCTTCTGTAATCTCTCTTTGTAAATTGTAAAGCAGCTTCAAGTTTGGACAAGTTCCATGCAATTATTGCATCTTTATCATGATTCTGTTTCTCTGACACTTTTAAATGGGTAGATGACATAAACGTATACATTTTATTTCAGTCTATCATCTTTATAAAAATTAACCAAATTCCACAAAATATTCCCAGTTTTCTTTCTGTCTCAGCAACAGGAAGTACACAGCAACAGGAAGTAACAGGAATAAAATTAGCCGCATACATATAGAGACCAACTGTCACTTTTGTTGGCAAATGGATGATTTCTCACGCAATTTTAAGTCTTTTTCTTCAAAATTATTTCTGAGTTCGTTTCATTTTGCAACTTTTTGTGATCTGAATGATTTTTTAAGGCATTTTGGTTAATCTGTATAGGTGCATATGTAGATTTTTTTGTATCTCAAGCCAGCTATGGTTTCATTTCTTAATGATTAAAGTGGTAAAAATCAGGGTGGCCATGGTGGTGGGGCCTGTAATCCCACATACTTAGGAGGCTGAAGCAGAAGGATTACTGGTTCAAGGGTGGCCTGAGCAATGTTGTGAAAACCCATCAGCAAAAGTAAAACAAACCCTAAAAACACATGCTAAGAACCAGAATTAATAACATTACTCATTTTTATAGTCATGGTCAAATACTCTGGGGTTTTTTACTTGGTCTTTTTTGCAAGCAGAGTACATGAGTGAAGGTGTGGATCTTGGAATAAAGTACCTCCTAATCAGCTGAATTTTGAAACTATTAAAAGTGGACTTCCTAATCAAGACCTTTTAGAACAAAAGTATAGTGCAGTATATAAATGGCGTTTTTTTGTCTGACATTAAATAAGACTGAACTGATAAATATGGGAATCTGGAATCCGAGGCTGGTAAAGTTGTGGTTGTCCTCACTCAGTATTTACCTAAAAAAATATGCAGTGATCCAGGCATGGTGATACACACCTGTAATCCCAGCACTCTGGGAGACTGAGGTAGGAAGAATGCAAGTTTGATCCCAGCCTGGGCACTTTAACAACTTAGCGAGATCCTACTTCAAAATTTTAAAAAAGGAGTAGAGTATAGCTTAGTGTGAAAACCCTGCATTCTATCCCCAATACCACACACATACACCCAAGAGAAAAAAAAACGAGAGATGGATTTTAAATTCTGTGACTTATGAGTCATGGAACTCCAAAGTTTGTCATTTCTAATCTAAGATTAAAGATAAAGCATTGGCAGAAGTCATTTGAAAGATGCTTGTCCTTTGTACTTAGAGAAGTACTTTGTCTAAGTTAGAAATAATAGAACTTAAAGCAGGACTGTGGTTGTTAATTGCTTGTGTATAACTGAGAGGGAAATTTTATTAATACTCTGGGAATTGCTCCTGATAAATCCTCGCATTTATTTCTTACACCCTAATTTGGGTCACTGGTCACTTGGCCAACACCTGTTTATTAGCATGGCTCCCAAGATTGTTTCCTCACCTTTTACCCTCCCACTGGCAGTCATGTTAGTGTAAGTTTGGAAGCATGGCCAGAATCTTTCTACATATCCAAAGCCAGGACTTTTTTTATTGACCTAGGAGGATGCCATCAGGTGCTTTGCAGGACATCTTACTGTGTAGAGGCAGTGTAGCTGAAGCCCAGTCAGTATGGTAACTGTCATCTTTTATTCATTGTGTCATAGCTTCTCCATATTGGTGTAATTGGCAGTTTGCTGTTTAGGTATATTATTGAGAAAGGATGGATAATTTCATACTATGAAACAGGCAAATCATAGTGCTGTGGGGGGGGGGTTCAGAGAAAGGAGAAAGCAGTTTCTCAACATTGTGGGTTCTGTTGTCTGGTGCTATCTTTTGCATAGCCAGATGTTTAGTGGCTTCTACCTACTAGATACTGATAATATTCCTCCTCCTTTTAGTTGTGACAGTGTCACTAGAAATGGCCAAATATTCCGTGGGGCAGTTGAATCCCCTGATTAAGAAGTACCGAGTTAGAAGAGCTAGATGGCAGTAGCATGTGTTTCAGTATTTAAAGAATGAGTAGAATTTGAGGGACTAAGAGGGTAATTTCCAAACAGAAGAAATTCAAAGAATTATAATATCCTAAAATATTCTATCCATTTTTGAAAGGGAAGAAATGATTAAAATTATCCTTTCATTGTTGACAATTCAGTATGGTGTCTGTCACATAGAATTTTTAAATGATGATTTTTAAAGGATTCCTATGTGTCATTAAAGTATTGATGAAAGTTATTTGAAAAAAAGAAAAGAAAATGGTATGGGGGTGTTTTTCACCTCAGATTGAAGGTTTCCTGCAAGATTTACACCATTTTCCTTACTTATTAGGGGGCGGGATTCTCAAGTGGAGTAAATGGTGCATAAGAGTACCAAACACCAGGAAGCAAGCTGAAAGAACAAAGATCATTATTTATGTCTGCCCCAGTTCATTATATATGTCACACTGGGAAGAAGGGAGACTCTTGATTCAAGGCTAGCACATCATTTCACGTGGCAGTGGAATGCCTGGGGTGTTAACAAAGGCTCCTGAAAGGCTGAACCATCTATGAATGCCATTTTATGTAGCTGGACTTACTGTTTCTAAATACAGTGGCATTGATTAGCATTTTCAGAGTTTTTTTTTAATAAGTAACAGTGTAGCATCAGAATGGCTTAGTCTGTTTCCCAGCTTTTATCAGATATGTTATGCTGGGAATTCAGCATGTGCAAAGGAAAAAAATCCTTAATATTTAATCCTACCATACACTAGCATTTTCATATCCTAGTTAAATACTAATCATATCAGTAAAACACTGGAGTGGAATTCTGTTGTGAAAGTTGCAGTTTGGTTAGTTACTGTTTTTTGCTACCCTGTTCTGCATATCACTTTGAGTGGAGATGGGAGGAGTGGCGTAACTAAAATGCTCATCTGACATCCAGTTTAAATGGTGCACTCCAGAGTAAAACAGAGGCCTTGGATGGAAGAAAAAGCATACTTTTGCGTAGTGTGTGCCATGAAGGCCTACAGTAGGCATGGAGGAAAAGGGAAGAGCAGAGCTATTTTAACCTCTCTTCTACCCTTCGTTTGCCAGACTTTCACTGACCCCAAAATGTTCACTGTTTAGAGTGGAAGGCTGCCTAGTTAGACTTGCACTGAGTGTGGAGGTATCTCATAAAGAATGACTCCTGGATATTTGTTCCCTCTTTAATTGCTTCCTTTTAACCACAATATTAGACTTTTATTGCGGAATGAAGTGAATATAAGCCATTTGGTTTTGCCCCATTACCTTTCTGGCTTAGAATGAACCATCAGTAGAATTAACAGAAATTGCATCATACAGTTGGAGAATTGCCCCCAAGGAAGTGTTCTAGCCATCCTACCGGAAAGAGTCTCCTTTTGGGATTTCTTCTCAGTGGAATTCTACAGTTCAGAAGATAATGTCACTAAGAAAAATTAAAATCCTGTCCACTGTTAGAAGAACTTAGCCAATCACAAACACTCCCAAGTCCGTTTGACTAGTAGCTACAGTGCTTTGGATACCACATTCACAAAGTGCAGGGCATAGCTGATAGGAGTAGCACTTTTCTACTTGATCTGATTCACAATTAGAAACCAGAATCTGCTCACTGGGCTCACACTGGTGTTGCACGTCACTGAGTCTGGTCACAATATTTGAGATCTCAGAATTGAATTCTTAGTAATTTAAAATTTGGAGATTCTAGGCCTAAGACATAAGAAAACAGCAAATTTATTTATTTCTACTAGGTTTACCAAAAACATTTAGCATGCATGCTTTCATTCAAGTGCAGATACACCTCCATTCATGAAAAGGTCAGTTTTTGCTTTCTGTGTATTTCTAGTGGATGACAGGGAACACTTTTTATGAGTTAGACTTCCTTTCACTCCCAGTAAGTTTCATAAGTAACATGCAAATTAGGGCAGAGAAACAAAACTGAAAACATGTAATAAAAATGTAACCTCTCTCAAATGATAGAATGGTAACCTTGTTTGTAAAAAATTCATTTTCAAAAAATTCCCTTGGGTAAATCCCTAGAATGTCATGTGTCTAAAAGAAGAAAAAGACTAAGTAGCTGCACATTTATATTTGTTAAGAGTGGGAGAAACAGTGCTAGCAAATATCATTGTATTTAGAAATGGTAAAACCAGTTAAGCTAAAAAGACATTTCTAAACTGCTAAGCCTTTCAGGAGCCATTGTTAGCATGCAGGCATTCTGCTGCTGTGTGAAATGTGTTATTCTTAAATCAAGAATCTCTTTTTCTTCAGGCTGACATAAATAATGATCTTTGTTCTTTCAGTTCTGTGTTTGGCACTCTTGTGTACCAGTTTACCCACTTGGGGAGCTGTATTTCATAATTTACTGAGGAAAATGTTTGGGCTATTGTTTATTTTGTAATGTCAAGTTTTTATTAGAAAAAAACTGAAACCAAAAATTAAGCAAATTTGAGTAAAATTTTCCAGAATTAAGGATTTTTTGGGGGGTAGGATATCTTGCTGGAGACTTGTGAGAATAGGATTAACTTCTGTTCTGTCCCAAGAGCAGCAGGTAGTAGCTTTGCAGCATGTGCAGATGTGTATCCTGTGAAATAAAAAGTACTAATTTGATCAGCTAACTTTAAAATTTCTGCATTATTTTTTCTAAACAAGTGAGTGTATTAATACATTGAAAATTTTGCTGTATCTAAATCAAGAACAATTATATTTTATGTTCTCTAAAATTATAATCTGAGAGACAGTAGCCTTTCTGTTTAATGTAAATTTTTGTTTCAGGATTTACTGGAGAAAATTGTAATTCTTCATTCTCTTGAAAAATAGCCCATGTGAATACTTCATTTAATACCAAGTGCTAATATTATTCAGTCTGACTCCCGAAATTCTGATTTCACAGAAGTGTTGTAGAGGAATGTTGCTGGAACAAGATGAACTGGGTTGTTTTGGGGAGCGGGAACTGATGGAAATATAATTACTTATTTAATTTAATGTAGGTTAGGGTTAATATATTGGTTTAGATTAATTTTATCTTGGCACAATATGAATCATAACTACTTTCTCATTTGATTTCAGAGAAGGCCTAAACTGTTAAATCATCACATTTTATGTCTTTCGGAATCTTACATATTTCAAAGTTTCGACCTTTTTATGATTACATTGAAGAAATGTAGATTAAAATGTATAGGAAACTTATTCAAGTGTATTGAGGTAAATGTAGTCAGAATTACTGAAAAGTCTTCATAATGAATTGCCTATATACAGTAATAAAATACTATTGTGTTTTAAGTTGGTATACAAATTTAGACTAAGCTGGAAAAAATCCCACAAGGGTCCTTGGTCTTCTAAAGTGTATAAAGTGTTTGCGAAATGAAAATAATACCTGACACCAGTATAGTCATTTTATAAAACGTGTTCACCTATTACCTTGTATGATACTTACAGCAGCATTTCCCGGGAGGAAAGTATTTTTATCACTATTTTAATAATGAGAAAGCTGGATTTTCCCAGGCTTCAGTAATCCATGTCCTAATTAACAATTAACTTTAATGCAGAAAATCTTAATTTTAATTAGAAGAAAATGTTTCTGATAGTTTCTAAAGAGGAAAACTTTTTTTCCAAATAAGGTGGTTGAATTTCAATAATGAGCAGACCTATGCTCCTTAAAAGTAATCATGTTTATTATATAGCCACTAGTAAAGTGTTCTCTCAGGATCTTTGAATACTATAGAAATGTAGTTGTCAAATGAAATTAAAAGTATGCTTTTATAAACATTGTTGCGGCCCCTAGAGAGCCTCTGCCGGTTTTGCTTGGTATTGTTTCATAGTTGCTATTCTTTTGTTTCTGGCTTTATGATAATATTTTTATCTCCCACATTAAAAAGCAAACACAATTCCATTCCCGTAGAAGCTATTTGGTGATTCAGCCAGCTGAAGGACTTGTTGTCTGTAGAAATGATAGATTCCCCCCCCCAGTATTAAATGGAAGGGCAAAAACCTATCAGCTACAACAGAGTGCGAGGAATCCCAATCACAGAAGTTCATATTCTTGGAAGTGGTATACCTAAAAAAGGCAGACCAGAGTGGGAAATGTGAACTACTGCTGGGAATAAGCATCTAGCCAAAGACAGGGCAGCTTGGAGATACTCAATATCAAAACTCTGATTAAGTCACACCTTTATTTTTAAATTCCAACACCCCTAGATTTTGGAAAATCTAGCAGACTGTCGTGTTAGCTCATAATTGCTTGGATTTAATTCTAATACAGATAATGTATGAAAAGATCAAGTTCAAATCAGGGACATTATTTGCCACAGCTTTTAAATCGTAAGATCATTCAAACTAGTAAGAACACTTTTTAAGATTCTGTAAGTATAAGTAGAAAGTGTAATCATAGTAAAACAAACGAGGGTAGTTATACAAGCACAGAATGTTATATCCAGTACATCATTATTGTGCTGCTACTTTTAAGTGGCTTTTCAGCATCACAGAAAACTGTATTTTTACTTAACTGAATGGAGAACACTAAAATTCTACCTTGGGATTCTTACTCTCATTAGCATTTCTACATACATTTGTTGTCTGTTATTTTTTAAAAATTATAATTTATATTTCTACATTTTAATGACATGTTTATCTTAATTGCAGATAAAACTCAGAGGAAATTTGCACAGATGCTGCTTTGGAGAACTTTACAACCTGGGTTGCAGAACTGAGCCTTGGTAAACCTGTCTCTATTACAGCATGTTGCCATACATCTAATTAAGTGCTTAAGGTCTTTGGCCTTCAAGATCCAATGACCTTACACAGGAATGCTTAGCACGTTTACCATACGTTTAAAATCTGTTCTTTATCAATCAGTCCTTTTATAGCTAAGTTCTTATTGATGGTTAATATGCAAGGATTAATTTTTAATATTTTAATTGATTTCTTTAATTAGTTTCTCAACTTGTATTTATTAAACACTCAAACTCAGTATTACCTACTCAATGCCTTTTAAAAGAAAGTTATAATGGAGAAAAAATTGAGCCTTAAACAAATGGTTACTTCTGTATATTACCTCGTATCAGTGCTTCATCCTATTTGTAAAATCTTTCTCCTTTAAATGGTTGGTTAATATTTTGAGACTTTGTTTGCGTGTGGCAGTGTTGTAAAAAGAAACTAAAGATCACATTTTACCTGTATGGATGGAATATCCCTTTCCTCAAGTCCAGTTTGTGATGTTCTAATTAACACGTTCTGAAAGTTACAGTTGATATTGGAAATTGACTGTACTTAGTCAGAGAGTTAAGTGTTTGATTCCATTAGGTTTTCACATGTGTTAATCTCATTTACAGCATTGAATTGCGGCAGTAACATTTTCCTTTCTGTGAAGTTCTAAATTTAGTTATGACCTACTTAGTAATGCTTTTGAAAAGGGATATTGTATCCATGGTAAATTAATTGTATACCTAAACAGAGATTGCTCAGCTTTGCCTGTCAGGCTTGTAATTGACATCTAGTAGACTTCTGCACATGTAAAATTGAATTCAAATAAAATCATGTACACTTTCTAGTTCTTAATATTTATCTTTCTGAGTAATAGTTTAAAGCAATATTTGTTAAAGTTTTCTTGCACTATCACAGTCGCTTTTTAGTTATTTGTTAAGAAGCATGTTCGTAGTAGAGACAAAATCTGTGTCACAGGAGGGAGAATAGCACCAAGTCTCTGGGCTATCTTTATTTTTGCAAATGTGCATTCTAATAGCCATTGCCTTCCATGTCGTTTACCTAATCAGCACATTTTGTCTGAATACTTGAACATTTTAACAGTAACACAGGTCTAGAAACAGAAAGGAAACCTATAAAGAGTAATTTTTGGTTCAGTTTCAACATCTTGACAATGAGTGCTTTTTCTAGCAATCATTTTTTTCATTTGTGTTAAGTTTGACAGTATTTTCTTAGGAGTTTCTTTGGTTTTATTTGTGCTTTTAACTTGCAGAAGTTAGTAACCGCAGCTCACCTACTGCACCAAAGTTCTCGATTTTAGGAGCCCAGCTTTAGTCATTTGAACATGCTTCTAAGTAAAACAAAACAAAAAAACCAAAACTATACTTCTGACCTATAATAATAGCTCAATAATTTCGTCAAGGAAAGCTCTAATATATGCAGTGACGGTTTATGGAAGGGTGTGGCAATTTTTGAATTTATATTGTGTGTGATGTTCGAATAAAGTGATACCTACATTCATGTGATTTATTGGTCAGCATGACCATTACTTATTGAATAGAAATGGATTAAACTTTGATTTCCTTTTTTTAAATCGTGTTGCATTTGATTCCTGATCAAATTCCCTCAAAACAAACTCTTATTCTTGAATTTTTAATTTTATCTGAGATTGTAAAGATAGAACAAATTGAAACATTGTTCCTTATTTAAACTGCTTTAAATGAATACTTAAGTTTGCACTTTAAAACCAAACTTAAAGCAAGCACTCATTTCAAGTAGGTTAATTGATTTTGAGTCATCTTTTTAGCGTTGTGAAATCCTTTCTAAAGGAATCAAACAAATCATGATTAAATTTTCTGCAGATTATTGATTTTTTTAAAGTGTTTCTTTCCTAGGAATATTGTTGTTCCCCCCCCCCATCTCGCTGTATTACAGTGTTCATTGTCATTGACCTCAGCAGCAAATTTAACTTGAATTCACTTAGGATCACAGGAATCAGGGGAAAGTGATTTTAAAGGTGGTTTCTCCAGCACATTTTAAGAAAAGGGACCAAAAGTTATTTTAGCTTCCTCAATAGATTGCATGTTGCCTACTAGGATAATAAATTAATATTAAATGCAATATATGTCTTGTCTTTACTCTGGCATCTGTTTAGGAGTTGTTCAAATCACTGCAGTAGGGCTCTGCAAATAAAATCATGTAACCTATTATCATGGATCTAATGTACTGTAACTTTATCAGTGTACGGTAAAAATCTCAAATAACAAATACAAACATTGAACAGTTACCTATTATAAAGATTTGTAAAAGTAAATTTTTTCCAATAGATTTCATTCTTGTCATTTTGTAAGATGACCCTGCAGTCCACCTGTTTGTAACTTTTTTAATAAAATAGACATCTGTATTACTGAAGTTGGTTGCTTTCATTATTTCGTGTACTGCTTCTTGTTCTAAACTTGCTAATGTATGTCTTTTTCATAATTAGCAGTCGTTACTTTTTATCAAAATGATAGTGTGCATACAAAGTATGTTTAAACAAAAGTTAAACATTCACTTATTTCCTTAGCCACTATTTTGGCATGTGTAGGGGGAAATTTAAATATGTCCTAAAGTAGACTAATCCAGTTGAATAACTTACAAACAAATCAGCATTTATTAAAAAATGGTAAAAATGAATATGTAATTTGGCCCATAGGAAGAAAGTGCCTGAAATACACTGGGAAATGTCTCTGCACACATGATTTCAGGAAACATTAAGCAGTGTAATTTAATTTTGAAATACGAAATTAAGAAAATTCACAGGTTATTTGGCAAAATCTTTCAGTGGATGAAATGATCACTTAACTCAGGGCCTAATTCAGTGTTTCAAAACTGTCGAACTGAGATTCTTTTAATCTCTATTTTTGTGTTTTTTACAATATTGAGGGTTAAAAACAGTGCCTTGCACATGTTAGGCGATCACTCTGGCCTAGCATTGACATTGGCCTAACATTGAGTGACATTTCCAGTCCTTTTTTATTTGTTGTTTTGAGACACAGCATTGCTGTGTGCCCAGATTAACTTCAGACTTCCCATCCTCCTGCCCTGTGCTCCTGAGTAGCTGGGGTTATAGGTGTGCACCACCACACTGAGCTAATCTCAGTGTTTTTTAAACTTGGAGTCCTTTTTTTTAAACAGGGAAGCCATTCATGATTTCAAGTCCCTGCCTCTTTTTTTCTCTACCTTAAAGGAGTAGTAACCTTTCATTTAGCAAGGTCAGCATTGCTAAGTGAATGAGAGAGGGCGAGACAGAGATAGAGAGATGCAAGGTAAGAGCTAAGGGCATCTAGGCTGCCTGATCCAACCGGACTCCATCTCAGATAGATCACCTTTCACTCCTCCCCTCCGGCCTCTCCAAGTCATTGTTGGGGGAAGATTCATCTTGTCTTCATACTCCAGGATATAAATATCTCGGGGTCAGGATCCAAGACTGTAAGACTCCTCTTTCAGATTTAAAGCAGGGATAATTTCTCAAATAGGCTTCTGCTTTCACCTATATTTATCTCATTTGAAGTTTACTACTATCTGGTGTTTTGGACTTTATTGTCCTCATTTTATAGTTGATGAAACCAAGGCTCAGGAAAGTTGTGACTTAAGTTCATAAAGCCAAGGTCAAGCTATTAAAATGTTGAGAAAGGTCCTTTTGGAGAAGGTTTTAAATAAATTTATCACTGGATAGAGTCAAGTGGGAACTATTAAAATTATAAAGCTCGTGGAACCATGATACAAAGCACACAGCAAAAAATAGCTGTTTTAAGCTCATGTGGCAGTCCATATGTAGCAAGATGCTATAGGTCCTATTTAAAGGTAATGTGTGTGTTATATTGCTAAGAGTTTATGTAAGACATAAGCTATTTTCATTATAGCTGTTTTTCACTGGAAAGGCAATGTCTTAAATCAGAGATTTGGCAGCCTTTGGCCGCCAGGCAGAATCCAGCCCAGTTAGTGCCAAAAGAACTGTAGAGATTTAGCAGCTGTATCCTGGATCCACTGCAGGCTCAGCTGCACACTTTTTCTGCCTAAACTTATAGTTCAAATAGAGGACCCGAAATACAACTAATCCCAGTCTCTTTGTCAGTGAAAAGCCATACCCCTGTGCTTGTAAGCACTGTCCTCTGTGACCCCAGTTACCCCATTCCCAAACCCAGTCCTGCTGTTGTATTATAATTTGTTTTCTCCCACAGACTTGATTTCTAGGGACCTTGCTTAAATGACATCTTCATCCTCAATGCTTATTTCTACTGCATTATAGGTGCTCATTAAATATTTTATAAAATTACAGTCACAGAATTAGGGATTTTGCCTTTCAAACGTACACCCAAGCCAATCCTTGCTGGTCATCTACTCATTTTAGACAGTGTGGGAAATGCACTCTGTCCTCTCATCTTCCTCCAGCCTTTATATGTGAACTAATGGTTCTGTTTATAATAGTTGTTTGTTTTTGAACTTCGAAAGGAAATGTATACCATAGATAGTCTTTACAGACATAGCTAGGCTGACCTGAAGGGCCTTGAGCCTAAGACTAAATTCTCCAAAGGGTCTAAAGACATGAATACACACAAGAAAGGAATCCAGATGCAGTACATGCCTGTGATCCCAGCCACTCGGGAGGCGGAGGCAAGAGGATTGCAAATTCAAGGGCAGCCCAGGCAGCTTAGTGAGACCCTCAAAATTTAAAAAGGCTGGGGATGTAGCTCAGTGCTAGCACACTTCTGGGTTCGATCCTCGGGACTGCAATTTTAAAAAGGTATTGGCTGCCCATGTCTGAGTTTCCAAATCTTCCCTAGACCTGAGTCTGCTTCATTCTTTGGTGAGTCAGAGTAATGATTGAAACTCCAAAACCTTTCACATATTTCCCGTCTAATAAGGAACATTTCCTGTTCTCCTTCTGAGGCATCCCTCACCTGTATCCCTGCAGTCAGCCCCTCTGCCTTCTCCTTCTTGTCCAGTCTCAGGGCCCTACGAATGACTTGGACTGCATTTAACCGAACTCCTTCCCTGCCCCACCCTGTTTTTCTATGTGAATCAAAATTTCACAGTGAAGCTATTGTAAGATGATTTTTATTCTATTTCCTCTAATTTCCAACACTCCAACTCTTTCTGACCAGTTCTTGGATACATTATCAGGTCCTCCCTGCACCAATCTAAAAGGTTATCCCATGTATGCCTTTGATTATCGATGATCTGTACATTCAGCCATGTAACCAGAACCTCCCTGAGGCCCCAGAAAGCCCTCGAGGAATTGGTTCCTAAGGCTCTATATACTTTTTCACTCATGCTGTCTGCCCCAAGGAATGCCTCTGGGTTTAGGAGTTTGAGGCTTCTGACCCAGCTGCTATGAAGTTTAAACCTGGTGTGGGGGTGGGAGTGGGCAAACCTTTGCTGAATTTTGCTCAGAACTTTAGACACATGCTAAATGTACAGATGGGAAATACAATGATCCTAATGGGTTGCAATGCTTCAATAAGTATGTGTACTGGGGGGGGGGGGTCTCATTTCTCTATTTAATAGCTACCAGGAACCCCTGATACCAGTGAACAATTAAGTTTCTCATGGTCCTTCTTTTGGACATAAGTTGGACTATTCTTTGAAAAATCCCAAATGAAGTGGCAATATTTTGCCATTTTCCAAGAGATCTCTTAAGAATGCTTTTGGTCCTTTGCTCAGGCAAACCCAGGTTAAATAAAAGACATAGTTGGACTTGATCAAATTGCTTGTTGCAAGCCGAGTTGGGTGGTGGGGTACACCAGGCCCTTTGGCATCTGAGGCCTGGAGAATGACGCCTCTGCTCTCTAACGTGGTAGAGGCCTGCGTTTACAAGACTTTTGCCACTCCAGCTGGCTAAAGAAAATAATGCCATGGCCGGGAATGGAAACCTGGCCCACAAAAGAGTGATTTCCCTTTGACAGTAAATAGTTGCTTGGTGAGGAGGATAATTATGCTAGGCAAAAATGGGACAAGAAGATCAGTGCCTTCATTTAACATTCATTGAGCTTCTAAGTAGGTACCGGGCATGGGGCTATGAGCTGAGTTTATAAGAGGCATGTGGCATGGCCTCATCCCCTGGTAGAGCTTACATTCTAGCCTGAAAAACAGATTTGCAAGCAATAATTATGAGGCAATGTGCCGTGCACTCTTGTATCAGCATGTACCAGAGGCCACGGAGCCCAGAGAAGGGAAAGGATTTGTTTTCTCTGAGCAGGTCAGGGAAGGTCAGCATAACTTGCCTTTGCAGTATATTCTTGAAGGTTAAGGGGAGCTCTGCACCTAGGCATTTTGCCTAGACTTGGAAGGGAAAGTCAGAGGAGACATGGGATCCTGGTTGTGCCTGGCAGGCTCAGGAGACCTGGGGTCAGCGGGGACAGACAAAGGAGGTGGTTGCAAAAAGTGGGAATGAGAAGTGGGGGAGGATGCTAAGAAGCAGCATAGACTGGGACGTGGGGGTGCTCAGCAGCTGAGGATTTCTCCTGGCAGTGAAGGGGAGCCACTGGCAGGCGGCAGCAGGAGACTAGCGGGAGCAGAATGGTGCTTTCAAGTGAAACCGTGAATGCCAAAAGTGGAGAACAGCTTGGAGGAGCTTGACCTGGGGCAGGAGGTCTGCAAAGAGCCCACAGCAATCATGCCAAGGACAAAAGCAACAGCCTTGACAGGACACACTTGGGCAATGAGGAGTCTGCAATGCATTCCAGTGGCCTAAAATGGGGACTCAAGTCACAATTCTGACACTGTCACATCCTTCAGCTTAGATATCTCTCATAACTCACCAGGATCCACCTCATTAAGCCAGGGATTTCACATCGTAATGTGTCTGACCCCTCCAAGCTCCAGTGCTCTGCTGCAACCCAAGCTCTAGTCCCAGGCGCCCCAAGGACTCTACCCACCCTATGCTTATGGGCTCCTGACATGCCCTGTCCACTCCCCTTCCCACTCCCTGAAATTCTCTCTCCAGTGCCTGCTCTCTGCAAGGGACTCTCACCCATCCTCAGGTGACCCTCCTCTGCAACCTTCAGCTAACTTTCTCCTCTCTTGCTCCCTCCCCTCCCCTCATCTTCTTGCTTCTTTTCTCTTTCTTCCTCTTCCTCTTTTGCTCTATCTTCCTTCTCCTCCCCTCCCCTCCCCTCCCCACTCCCCTTTTCCCCTCCCCTCCTCTCCTCCCCTCTCCTCTCCTCTCCTCTCCTCTCCTCTCCTCTCCTCTCCTCTCCTCTCCTCTCCTCTCCTCTCCTCTCCTCTCCTCTCCTCTCCTCATTTCAGGGTAGTAGCCAGTGAATACTTACTGTGTTATTTCAAAATTACTTATTTATTTTCCAGTCCCCTCACACACACACACCTACAAGACAAATGGCTTTTCTTGGGAGGGAAATGGATTCTTTGTC